ACACATTCTTTTCCTCTTTTTAATTAATGTTAAGTAGGTTTGAGCATTCAAAACAAGAGATTGGAACTATGATTAGAAGCTGGAGTTATTAGTTGCTATGATGAGCTGGCTCAGTCATAAAAGGGGAACGGATGTTGCATTTGTAGAGCTTGTAAACCTATTGGCTGTTCCTGATTACTTTTAGTGTTTCACTCAATGTAATGCCTAAACTAGCCCTTGATCATAGGGAGTTAATGATGTGTAATAAAGAAGAAGTGCTTCCAGACCAGGCTTCTACTATGCAACCTCACTGCCAGGTTTATGGGAAGTCCAAGCATCACTGCTTTGATTTGCAGCCCACTTCTTTTTCTTCATTATTTGTTTCATATTTTTTCTTACCTGAGAAATTCTGTTTAGCAAAACAGAAGAGAATTGCAATGCATTTTAGTTGTGAGCAGTAGCAGTCATCTGTCTTCACATGCTCTAAGAAGGCGTAATAAAGGACAGTGTAAAGTGCTATCCTTACCTCTGATATACTAGTTTTCAGTATTTCAGTGAAGAGAGCTTATTTTAGATTAATGACAACCCATATGAAAGTGTAATGTAAAAGACACTGTGTGCAGAATTTAATATTTCAAAAATAAGCATGAGAATTGGCACTGAAAATGTTATGTCCTGCAGTCACTACTTTAACAATTGTCCTACTTTCTAATTGAAAAACATTGCCATTCTTTGTTTCTGAACAAACCTAGACTGTTTAATATGACAGTAATTTGCACATGCTTTCTTTGTTTAGGAAAATTTGCACCATTTGCTGCATCCTATTCTGACTAGAAGAGAAAACAGTTTCCTAGACTTAGAGATAAGATATGTTGAGCAAATGTGAAAGTTTCAACAAGGAAAGCCTGATCTAGGACCTTAAATTTTGCCTTCTTGTGGAATAAGGCATCTCTTTCTGTTTGATAATGGGAAATAGAAAGTGGATATTAAATGTGCTCTGAGTAGCACAGAGTACTGACTCAGACTCTATGAATCAGCTAATTCTCGTCTTCTGCTGTTTTAAGTCTTTTGGTCTGGTCAGCTTTTTGCATTCAGGAAGTGAATTCTTGCCCTCAAAATACACTGTCATCATTGGCCAAGAACATTTGCTAATATGAACAAAAGTCTGGAGGATCAAATAATGAATCTGATGTATATGTTTCTTTTAAGAGAGATAATCGGTTCTGTCTTGTGGTTTGAGAGTTTTTATGTTCTTCAAAAATAGGTATCAGAAGTTATATAGAAAGTGTAGTATGGCTATGGGTGGGGGATGGCTGAACAAGAAGACCCACGAGTAAGGGAGAAAGTGAATGCTGTCACTCTACTTTTAAGATGTGTTTTGATTTGCTATACAAACTTTTTAGGCATAAAGGCAGCATATACTTAGAACAGACAACTTCAGAGTTTGTTGATATAGGTAGATCTATAACTTTTCTTTGAGTTTAACAGTGGACTATGTTATGTTGGAACAGCATGTAGTTGGCCAGTACACTTAAGTATTGGCCTTTGGTGACTATGTGGTGAAACTGGGGAACAGTTTGAACCACAGGGAGTGTTACTATAAGCAGCACTTCTTTAGATTTCATCTCTTCAAGGTTGACAGGAAATGAAGTGATGCCTCCTGGTTCATGAATGATGTACTGTATATGCAGCCTTATGTATAATTAAAAAAACCTTATATCAGAATTCATTGCTTCAGCACTTCAAAAACTAGAGCCTAACCAGTATGGAGTAGCCAACCAACATATTGCATTAGATAGTTAATCTACCCATTCTTAGGTTGTTTAGATCATGAAAACATTGAAAATTCAATCACAATTTTCAATAATGCAGTTGTACCAATTTCATTAGTTTCCCACCCCCTGCGACCATGTACACTGTGTATATAAACCTGTGGCCTCAATATTGTACTCCATGTGTTTGAAGAATTGGATTATAACCCATAAAAGGCCACACTGAAATAAATCTGGTAGTGTTAAAGGTGTTACAAGTGTTTCTCATTTTTGTTAATTGCATGTCAATCATTATTGAAAAGTTTGGGTTTGTGGTAATACCTGTGACTCCTTTTTGTTATTCTTTTCATTCATCTTATGTTTTTAACTTATTTTTGTTGCACTTCTGTGGCTTTTTGCCAAGCCTGGTTTGCAAAACCTTAGCCAGGGTGCTTGATGTGTGAAAAGTTATACTGCCTTTAAAGTACCTGCAAAACAATGAGTGTTAATTCTTCTCATTTTTTGAAATCAGAGCATACTATGTGTGTTCAGATATTTCCTGGTAAAGTTAGTGAAACTAGTTTTATTTTGTCAAATGTGTTAGGTTTGTGCTTGAAGACAAACTCATGTTGTAGTACTTTGATCATGACACGTTGCAGTTTGCACATTATTATCAGCAGAATTCACCTTTAAGATGTAAATCTGTGTAATTTCTGTGGGAGATGTCCACAGGTAGTTCATACTTGAAATGGCCCAGAATGTTTTAAGTAGTGTTTTGTCACAAACACTAATGTTACCACATAAATAGGGAGAGAGGCAAGACTTCCAGAATCCAAATATGATACTCAGCCATTACATGTGTTCACTTCTCATGGTACTTGTTTATGTATGAAGGCTCTGGCCCTGATTCATGAATCCAATTTGTTGTATTAGTTGAACTGGTCATATGGCCAATGACCATATATGTGTGTGGTGGTGGGTGAGAGGGATCTAAGAACAGTGGACTCTAAGAAAAGATAGGTCTGTATTATTTTTGCTAGTACTGCTATTCTTCATCATACAGTCATTTTTCTGAGCAAGCCTAGCCTTTTAGAGTTACACCCTTTTAGATTTATAATTCTGGATTTTCGTGGCATTTTCTTTGTCATTTTTTCAGTAGAGAAAGGCATGTGCATTAGAGTGCTTGGTATGTGTGCTTTGAATGGTCAAATCAGAAATGTGGGTCACAGAATTGTGGGATGTGTCAGTTTTTGTGCCTGGAGGGACAAAAATGGCTATTGATGTTAATCTGAAATCGGCAGTCTTCTCTAATTGTGGCAAGTAAGGGACTTCACAAAAGGCTATGGTGAGTACAGTTTATTCCTCCTTGCATCCAAAATAAACTTTGAAAGAGCACCCAAAGTCAGGAAAATATGTCAATGATGTAGTAGAACCACAATATTGACCTAAATTATAGTTTTTCATAGGGTGGTTGGTTGGAGGAAACCTCTGGAAAGAGGCAATTGGCTTCTTTTGTTTGTTTATATTATTTATATGCCACCTTTCTCTCCATATGAGACACACAAGGCAGCTCATAGCACAGTAAAATTGTACTATCATGATTTTACCACAGTTTTAAAAATATTTTAAAAAACAGAACAGTTTGTTTTATTCTTGCAGTGTGCTCTGGAAATATGATTGTTTAAAATAATAAAATTAAGAAAGGGAAATTAAGAAAGTGAGAATCAGGCTAGGTGTGGTGTGCATGTTTTACGAATAGGGTCTTCCGAGTTAATTATTTTCAATATGCTAAAACAGAAAGAGTGGTGATGGTGATTTGAAATGTAGCACTTGAGGATGCTGGAAGATTTTCACTTCCCTGACTTCTTTATTTTTAAAGGATAAAAACAAAAATAAAAACAAAAGTAAGGGATTTATTCCCGTGTGACCTTTTGTGGATTATAATCTCCTTCCTCATTAATCTACAATACCCAGAATGAAATAATTTTTTAAAATTTAATTTGGATTTTTATACATATGAAACAGAATGACATACCCTGTTTTCCCAAAAATAGACCTAACCTGAAAATAAGCCCTAGTATGATCTTTCAGGATGCTCATAATATATACACTACCCCAAAAATAAGCCCTCGTTAAGTGAAGCCCCGCCTTCCACCATTGTGCAGCAACCAGAAGATGACATGACTGTATTTGAATAAATGTAGATTGTTGTACATGGGGAAGAAATAAAATCCCCTGAAAATAAGCCCCAATGCATTTTTGGAGCAAAAATTAATATCAGATCCTGTCTTATTTTCGGGGAAACACAGTACCTCTGAAAGCTGATGCAATGGAAGGCATTTGAATTAAATTATCTCCCATCAGCTGTCAATCGACCTGTGTAGGAAATCACAGTTTTGAAACAGTGAGTTAACAGAGGAGCCTGGAGGGAAGGATTTACACACTTGCCTGTTTATTAATGGCTTTAATTCTTTCTCTGTCTTTCTCATACACTGTTTTTAAATTTGTCTCAAAGAGAGAAAGAAAATGTAGTAGAGACCTGGCCTTCAGTAACAAATATGTTGCTTTTTAACTTAGTGCATCCTTGGGGTGTTACTCTCTGTTTTCATAGGTATGCTAAAGTAGTTCAGGGTGTTTTGGAACCGATAATGTGGTCCTGTTATACTCACTGTGCTCTTTAACTACAGGAAAAGAGACAGTTTGAAAGGTGGAGCTAATGAAGCTATGTTAGCAAGTTCTTCCTTTTTATAGAGAAAAGATAAAACCTTGTGTAACTAAAATTGCTTTCAAAATGTGATCTTTACTTCTGTTCTGTTTAGTGAATTCTAGGAGTATTAATCTCAATAGTTGCAAGTTCCTCTTGGTAGAGATGCCTTCTAACGACCATCTTGCAAATTCCAGAGCCAGGTTTGCTGCAACTTTGCTGTTGTATGGAACATTTGTGGTATTTGTGTTTCTTCTTAAAAAAATAAGATGGAATTCAAAGTAAATGGAAGAGTAATTTAATTTATGTCTAGAGTACTCTTGAGACTTTGATCCAATTCAGGATAAGATCCCTGGCTTCCTGACAGCCTTTAGTAGCTAATAAAAATAGGTCACAACAGTTTCTTTCAGGAATAGACTAGAAGGTGAGATGAAGGTCTACTAGGCTAGTACTTGCTTGTAGAAAAGCTGGTAGATTTAGGGTTTGCTTTACTGGAAATACATGGACATCTCAGAGACATCCTGTTAAGTTTTGTGGCCTTACATGTTCTAATTCGAATTTTGCAGGTGATCCTGATCATGGCATCTGAAGAAATTCCTGAGTTTTTAAGTCCAGAAGAGGAAGCTGCATACTGGAAGGGTCTCTCTTTGAAATACAAACAAAGGTATGCTGCTGGTAGTGCCCTGTGGAAAATATTATTTTGGTATATCATAAATGCATTGACATTACTTTATTTGAGATAGCCATTTGTAGATGAAAGCCACATGTCTCCAGCATAGTTATGAGCTATGCTTGCTAGGAAGCGGTTATTCAATTTTATTTATTTTTAATTTTTTTTTTTAGGGTAACCTTGCATTGTTTGAAAAGTGTCTTTGTAAACAATGGGCCTTTTATCATCTCACGGATGCTGCTAATATTTGCCCTTGGCTGGTTCTGTCTCATTGCTTCCTGTTGATTTAATACTATATTTAACTTAGTTGCAGGATCTCTCTTTAAATTTTGTTTCACTGAAGTTTACTGATTACGTAATTTTAATGCCTGTGTCCAGCTAAATGATGACTTGGATTCCATTTAAGCCTTCCATCTTTGAGTGCATCTAATCATATACATTATCTGAATAAACTAGTTGGCTACTTGAATGCAGAGTATGGCTTGTGTGGGCTGAAAGACAAAAATGACCCTTATGGGTCAGGAGAAGGCGCACCCCCTTGTGTTTCAGATAGTAGTTTCATTGTCTGTACTTGTGTACTTTTTATATAATCTCTTAACTGCTGCTTTTTTAAAATGCCAAAGTACAAAGCACTGCCAACATACGACGCAAAAAAAAATTATCCACAAGAAACAGTGTTTTTCAAAAGCTATCAGGAACTAGTTAGAGCATACCTCTAACTGCTAAGAACTACAGCCTCCACCCTTGTACTACTTTGAAGGCAAATACACCAGCCTGGGGTAGCATAGTTCAGACTATGCAAAATAGTAAGACATTGCACTCAGTGAAAGTTGTAGAATCATGTCTAGATGCTGAAAGCCAAACCATGTGCTAAAATCAGTTACCTACCAGGCATTGTACCCAGTGACATTTTGGGGAGAGAGAGCAACTAACAGTGTAAATGACTCAAAGCATCTACATGACATGCACACCCATTGTTTGGCTAAATAGGCGAAGTACTATAAACACTATGGTTGTTTTTCTTTACAGTTTAATATGTTTCAGGGCCTGTGAATAAAAGTGAACCTTATTCCCCTAGGTTGCCAACAGGCTGTAAAGCATGAATGCTTAGTTTAAAGCCTAGCTGTACTCTCTTCTAAGTATATTGGTCTATAAAATGCAAATATGAATTAAAATTCACCCTGTAAATAGATGGCTATTTATCCCACAGCAGTTTTTCCGGTTGTGCTTTCAGAGGTTTGCCTAACAAATAGGATCTGATCTCCCCCTAGGGCAGCCCCTTAACTCCCTACTAGAGATGGGCACAAACTGCCTGGCTTCCCCACACCTCCTCCTCTGGGTGCTGCCTCTGAGTGGACACCTGCTAGAGGAGGTAGGGCTTTAAAGTGCCAAACACCTGTTCTGAACTGACATGAATCACCAGAGCAGTGGTTTGTGCCCACTACATAGACCTGTATCAGGATGACTGTACTTGAAGATGATGTGCAACTGCTATTCTCTTTGCTCCTTTCCTACTGCAGTTAAAGATATATAAGAAAAGGAGGTAGCCTTTTTATTTTCAGTGTCTCTGTTATGATGTTTTCTTCCAAAGGAGAATTGCCTTCTGTTACATTAATAGCTTCTGTGTGCCAGGCAAAAGCATTTTTATTTACTCATACATTTTAACTATTGTGAGTTGAGATAAGTATGTTTTATTGTTTTATCTGTGATTTAATACATTAAAACATAAAGTAAAAACATGTAGGGAGATGTGACAGTATATTTCAGTTAAGGTTAAGGTTCCCCTTGACAATTTTTGTCCAGTCGTGTTCGACTCTAGGGGGGCGGTGCTCAACGCCATAGAGCCAGCGTTTGTCCGAAGACAATCTTCCATGGTCACATGGCCAGTGCGACTTAGACACGGAACACTGTTACCTTCCCACCAAGGTGGTCCCTATTTATCTACTCGCATTTGCATGCTTTCAATCCGCTAGGTTGGCGGGAGCTGGGACAAGTGACGTGCGCTCACTCCGTCACGTGGATTCGATCTTATGAGTGCTTGGTCTTCTGACCCTGCAGCACAGGCTTCTGCGGTTTAGCCCGCAGCGCCACCACATCCCTGTTATTTCAGTAGAGTATTGAAAACAACTGGAAAGATCAGAGGGGCTATATTTCCTGTTATGGTCACCAGTTGATCTATGCCAAAATATTGTATGTCATCAGACAGAAAGTCTTAATGGACATTGTTTCAAAACATCCCTTCATTTTAGCTTTGCTGAGTACAGTATTGGATTTGTTTCTCATAGGAACTTGAATATCTTTCTGTTCAACTTTGACAGTACAGCATCACAGTGACCATCATTTTGGATACACGTTTTCAAATGATAGATTTTAGTCTTTACTTTTGTCTCAAACAAGAAATGCATACTGACAACATGTAACAATTTTATCAGCATATTTTCAGTTCTGTTGAAAGTTGGTCTAGCAGTGACGGGTCATGCATTTGCTAAGTACATTGAAAAGACAGAAATGTAAGCAGACCAATGCCCCTCTCATCACCACAACCCCTCATTCAGTTTTCAGGAGGCCCGTGAAGAGCTGGCAGAATTTCAAGAGGGCAGCAGAGAACTGGAAGCAGAGTTAGAGGCTCAGTTGGTACAGGCTGAACAGAGGAATCGGGATTTGCAAGCGGACAACCAAAGATTGAAACAGGAAGTGGAAACTTTAAAGGTACAGCAGTGTCAGTTGTGGTGTTGGTGCAGATAAACCCGGGGTGGCATATATCTTGCTGATTAGCCTCAACATCGTCAGCTCAGCATTACATATTAGTCCTGAATGTAGCCCTGCTGAGTTCCCAGAGGCCATGCCTCATCCCCCCTCTTTTTTTTTTTTTTTTTTTTGGAGTGGTTTCTCACCTTTTGTGTGGATGTTGAACCCATTTTACAGTCTGAACTACCTCTCAAAGGTTTAGTCAATGGCAATAAGAGCTTAAGTTGAAATATGTTGGTTATTAGGCCCCAACTTTTGTTTTTAGTTCTGTCTGTCATTGGAATGCATTCCTTAGGAAGCTCTCTGAAGTTGAATTTGGCCTTTATGTTCTCCACCTTTGCTCTAAAGCCTACATTTCGGTTGCAAAGCTAGTTAATTGTGAACTATTTGCCCTTTGTTTGTTTTTACATTCTGAGCCTACTAGATCGTCAACCGCCACTTGCCTCCTCCACTTTATCAGAAGCCAAGATAATCACACAGAAGTAGCTTAGAACTGAGATAACAATATGTGTTAAAGGCTTTTAACAGTGAATTCTAGTGGCTTTTAAGTGAGGAGGGAACTCAGCACAGTGTATTTTAAGGTGAGAAGATATATTGGCATCCCTGTTTTGAAAAACTACTGGATATTATATCTTGCCAATTTTTGAACTATTTTCCTTAAACTGGAATTTCTTACCATCTTTGCCTGATGAGAGCTCTGGAGAATGTGAATGCTTCTCTCCTTTGTAGCTTTTAGCCATCACATAATTATCCAAGTCAGAACTCGTTTTGAAAAGTGCTTGTACTGGTCTTGTTTAGACTGAGTATTAGATTGAAGTGGGCTTTTAAAACAAGGAAATCTATCAAATACATATTTACTTTGAACTGTGTATGCCTTTGAAAAATGGTATTTTGGAAGAAAACAAGTGGTACCATTATCTGGACTTTCTGTAGCGATGGCACTTTTGTTGGTGACTGATAACTATCTGGTATAATGAGAGTCAAATGTTTTATTGTGTGAGACAAGGCATACTTTATAAAAGACTGGTTTTATTAAAAGGCAAAATATGTATATAATCTGAGGAGAAATTGAAGTGTGTGTTTAAAAAGTCTTACCTCAGAGCCTTTTTTTTGACCATATGCTAATGTGAATTAAGAAATAAAATATGGCTGAGAAGAAAAATGTTTGAGCCATACAGGATGCCACTGTGTCTATCTAGTAGGGTTTCGATTGTGAAAGGTGATTGGGTCTGGATACTTCCTTTGCCAGCTGTCTGGGGGCTGGATGGTGTTGTGTGGCAAGGCTGTGCTTCCTGACATTTTTGTGTACCCATCCATAATACTGGTAAATTGAGCTTTTTCATCTGTAATTGAGCTCTCCGTTTCCTGTGTGTAAAACAGTTAAGAGGAGCAAAATGCAGTCAAGTAGTGCTTGCCAGTGCTGACTGACAAGACAGTCGGCTCTGCTGCTGTTCCCCTCACTCACTATGTAAGAAATGGGGAGGAAAAGCAAGACCAAAAAAAGGATTCCTCAATATTCACAGAAGCCTCCAAGAATGGTGCTTGAGATGGGGCCTATCTGGAGACCATTACAGGCCTGATGGGGGGACCTCTGTAAGATGCAGTTTCTTTTGATTTAGTTAGTCATGAAATGGAAGCAGAATTATGAATGATGATTGACGTACATCCTGAGTCAAATTGACAAAGTTCTTCACTGGTTTGTGTGTGTGTGTGCTTTCAGGAGAAGCTTGAGCTACAATATGCACAGAACTACAAGCAAGTGTCAATGTTAGAAGATGACTTGAGCCAAACCCGAGCAATTAAAGACCAGCTGCATAAATATGTGAGAGAGCTAGAGCAAGCCAATGATGACCTTGAGCGTGCTAAGAGGTAAAGTGCTGGTGATAGTCACATCCCTGTTTGATGCAAGTGCTTCACTAGATACTTCCTTGTCATTCAGCTTGTTATTCCAGTAACTGCTAAAGAATTCTGTATGTCATAAACAGAAACATGATAATGATGCATTGGTGTATTAAAAGAACTGCCGTCCTTATCAGATTTCCAAAACCTCTTTCACTGGTAGTCTCAAAACTCAGCAGGATATATACCGTAACTGTATTTTGAGCCAATTCCAGAAAGTATGTTTTAATATGAGGATAAGAATCACATTACCCTTTTGACAACATTTGACCAGTCTTCACACCCAAAAAACTCTTCTGTACAGTCTCTGCTAAACAAAGTCTGATCTCTCCTGTATATGTGTAGTAGCATCTGTGGTTAATGTTGTATTGATGCTCCCTGACAACTAGCATTCAGAATATGTTGTGGACAAATTAATCAAAAGATTCTGTGTTTCTGAAGTTCTCAGGAGCATATTGGCCATGACCACACTCTTGTATGTTTCATTACTAAACAGATTGAAGCAAGGTGAATATTTTTCAGTGGGTTCTTACTCTAAGCAAATTAAAATATTATTTCCAGGTCAGCACAAAAAAGTTGCTCATCCCATTTAATAGGTAACTGTAAGAGGCAATGATGCCCTCTAAACATGAGCCTTATTTACGTCTGTATAGTGTGGAAATGGAGAGGAGTGAGCCTATATTAAGAGTGGTCTTAATCGACTAGATAGGCGGGATATAAATAAAATTAAATAAATAAATAAATATATTATGTTGCATGTCTCTTTTGCTGCCTGGTCTCCTGTAAAGAGTCCAGATTTCCAGGAGGTCTTGCAGCATAACTGCCATTCTACTTTGCTGCAAGAAATTTTCTGAGTAGACCTGATTGGTGAAGTTTCCTAACTAGGAAAAATTAAATAAACTAACTATATTGTGGCATTTCTGATTTTTGCCAGCTTTGGTAGGCCATTTCCCACAAAGGGAAATATTTTTTCTATTGTAGTGGTGTGCACCTTTTTGGCACCAAGTATGACATACTGATAAAGGGCTTGCATGCAGGACAGAATTTTAGATTTGACTGTGCCTGTTTATTGTAGCCCAAAAAGCATGGGGTAGGATTCATTTCAAGGTGTAGGGGTTTTAAGGCACCTGCTTCCCAAATGGTCTTCTGTTGAATCATAGGTGATGGGGTCTAGCTCAGTGGTTGAGTTGCTTGCCTCATATCCAAGTCACAGAGCGGGCCCATGTATTTCACTGAGTGCTGTAAAATTAGTCCCCTCCCCCAAAATGTCCAACAGTAGCCACATTGTAGCATGTCTAATCAGTCAACAAGGGGCTGACTAATAGCTGTGTCCTTGCTCTCTGCTACACCCAAACCCTGTAAAGTATAGCCAGTTAAAATATTGTAGTCTGTTTCTACCTTTAATGAAACTGTTGTGTAATAATTTTGCCATTCTTCTCCCTGCATCATTGCTGCTGTGGGTGCAAGTGGATGTGATAAACTACTTGCTTGTAAGAACATTTTGGTTTTATATTGTAATTGCATTGCTGGATTTGGGGCCATGTGAATTTACTGTCCATTATTACTACTGTGGAGATCTGTAATCTTTTTGCTGTGAACTGGTCAGCGTCCACTGCCAGCTCCTGAAGCCTTCATGAACACTTTTTTTTCATTTGTTCTCTCTTGCTCTGAAATACTGGGACCTTTGTAACTGCCTAAATGTATACTGAGGAGCTACGTCCACTGTCTTTTTGTCTAGGGCAACCATTGTTTCCTTAGAAGACTTTGAACAAAGGCTGAATCAGGCCATAGAGAGGAATGCCTTTTTGGAAAGTGAGCTGGATGACAAGGAATCACTGCTTGTTTCTGTACAGAGGCTGAAGGATGAAGCAAGAGGTACTGCTTATTCTACAATGGTTGGTTATGTTCTTAATGAAGATGGTGTGGATGTCAGAAGTTGCAGGTTCACTTTTGGTGGTGAGATAAATAAGGCTGTATGGCACATCTATAAGCAAGCATAAATGCAATAATATATTTAGTCTTTGTATTTTTGTAAATGTGTCGTAGAAACAGCCAAACCAGAGTTGCAAAAATCATTTTCAGAGAAGTTTAGGTAAGCTTCTCTCCAAATTGCTTTATGTGGAAGACATGGTGCCCAAATTAGGTGTGGATGTGACCATCAGAACAAATATAATAAATTTCACTATTCAAATTGACATGTTCTGAATGATAAAGCAATAGATGGCTTGATGTGGAAATAATTTTGAGACTTCAGTGTACTTCTGTGGTCTTGGGGAATCCCTCACTTACGAAGTATTTCTGAGATTGAGTTGTATCAGTGTAGAGATTAGTAAAAGCAGAAGGCAGTATTTTGAAATGGTGTCCAACGTGTTCAGTGTCTATTCTTTGTGCAGTTTCCCTTACAAATTGAACTTGACATATTCTTCAGAGAGATATACACCCACAGGTAAAAACATCTCATCTCTGTCCCTTAGGGTGGCCTGTCAAAATGTGGAGGGGAAAGTGCAAGGCTCTGATGAAGGAACACTGGGAAGAGACTTCTCTCCCTACTTTGAGAGTCTGTATTCTGTGCTGTGTACCTGTTCCTAGGAAGACATGTTTGTATCAAGCAGCTGACAAGGCTCTAAAGGGATCTTACCATAGCTTCCTGTTTCTGTTTGAGTATGATGCTTGCCCCTACAGTGTGGAAAGTGTATACGCATAGACACAAACACACACACAGCATGTCTTTCACTCAGAACACACTGGACTGTAACGGAGTGTGCAGATGCTTGATTGCCAGGGGATTTATATAGGCTTGTTTGTTGTCAAAGCTGCTAGCCAGATGCAACTATTCTTTCTTAAGGTAGCGTGGGGACAGAAGGACTGGTGATTTTACCTCATGGATACTTTGTCTATATTTAAGGGCTGCTAAATATGCTCTGTACTTTGCTTTGACGCAAAAATAGAGGCTTTACTATGGAGGATATATGTCTTGTTTTGGCTTTGAGGTGGAGACATGCCATTTCAGCCAGTGTTATATTTATGTCTCATTTGGCTTTGGAGACCTCATATGATGTGTGGAAATATGTACAGAACAAGTAATCATAAGGGTGCAGATGGAGGAGCTTGTTTAATGTGTTAAGATAGACATGTTCACAATACTTTATCCTTCTGGCTTACAGATTTAAGGCAAGAACTAGCGGTACGTGAAAGGCAACAGGAAGTAACAAGGAAGTCAGCTCCTAGCTCACCAACCTTAGACTGTGAAAAGATGGATTCAGCTGTCCAGGCTTCACTTTCACTGCCAGCAACACCTGTTGGGAAAGGCTGTGAAAACAGCTTTCCCTCTCCTAAAGGTAGAACATACATGTGTGCATGTCACTGAGAAAAAAATTTAGGACTATAAAGCCAAATTAGATAATTCGGATTGGTGGTGTATTATAAGTCATGAAACATTTTGCACAGCTGTGGCTTTGCTCTCCTAGAAATGTCAGGTCAGTCTCATCCAGCACAGAAACTAGAGAACAGTTTTTTGAGTCACATAAGAAAATAAAACCTCACCAGGCCTAATTTCTTCTTTGGCCCACTTTTGTGTACAAAAGAATGTATATAATGACAAGATAGAGACTGGGAGAATGTGAGATAAAGGTTTTGAAAGTTACTGGCTTTAAATATGAATATGGTGGTGAGAGATGTCCCAGAGGGAGCCCCTCTTAGAGAAGCTGGATTGGATAATATGCATGGAACTGCATACTTACTGGCACTCACCCATGTTCCTCCTTTTTTACAGCTATTCCCAATGGCTTTGGTACAAGCCCACTTACTCCGTCCGCCAGGATATCTGCTCTCAACATTGTGGGTGATCTCCTTAGGAAAGTGGGGGTAAGAACTTTGGCAACTTAAAGGGATGCTGCAATTTTTCCTACTGTTCTGTAGGTTTAGAAGAACTGCCACTGACTGGGTGCTATTTAGGGAATTTCTGTTTTATAGAACATTGGTCCGTCTTTATATTTGAAAACTAATTATTGCTCAAAGACATTATTTTTGAACTAAATAGCTATTATTTAGAATGTTGTAAAGTGTCAGATGATATTTAGATTTGCAATTAGTTTTGCCCAGAGCCACTCCTCAGACTTTTTATTGCATTGATTCTGCCTAATTACTTTATTGAAAAGCTTTACTATTTATTATTTTCTCAGGCCTTGGAATCCAAACTAGCTGCTTGTAGAAACTTTGCCAAGGACCAGGCATCACGGAAATCTTACGTTTCAGGGAACATAAACAGCAGCATGATCAACAGTAATGGCATGAAGTTCTGTCATTCAGGGCATACAACATTCTACGACAAAGCGTAAGTTTGGGTTATGCTTGAGGTTTCAGGAACATCGTTTGTAAAGATGTATTCTCATGAGTAATAGTTGTGCACCTTTGGCCCACACACATTATTCCTTTGAATGTAGGCTACAGTTTAGTGAAGCACATCACCCTCACACCTCTAATAAGCCAGCTAATAAGATATTTGTTTCTTCCAGGGTGGGAATTTAGCATAACAAATTATATTGTATCATTCAAAGAAATGAATCTGTTCAAACTAGGGAACGTGTTCATAGCAAATAGGGTCAGATCACCCCAGAATTCCTTGGTTTCCTCTTAAGAGAACCATCAGTGAAACTTGTGAAGTATTCAGTCCTTGTCTTCTTGGACTTCACATGGAGCATTCAGTTTGATACTGCTGGACTGGAGAGATTTAGGGCCTGTGCCAGTCTTTATTTGTAAGTTTCTGAGTAGAATATTGTTAGCTGTATTCCTACTTCTTTTCGTTTTCTGTCACTCATAATCGCAAGGAACAAGGTGAACATCTCCATGGAGGTTGTTCCACAGTTTTGATGCCACCTCAAAGAAAACTTCTGCGCTAACTCTCTTAACCATACTGAAGAGAAAAATTACCCCACTGTCGTAAAAACATAGAAGTGGTTCTTAAACTGTCTCAAGCTGGGTCTGCATAGATCCATTTCCCCTAATCTGATACCTCTAGATGCTTGTAGTACAGCTCCTAACACCTCCATTATGGACTCTGCTGATGGGTTCTAATGAGAATTGAAATCCAAAACACCTGGGGGGCACCAGCTTGGAGAGGCTCATTTAGTGCTTGAATATCAAAATTTCCTCCAGGGATGAATTGAGAGTGAATCAATTAAGTCCCTTCAAAATTGGTGCAGTTTATTCTATTCAGTTTAAAGTGGCATTTTGGATTCTGTTAGGGTTTCTTCTCAAACTCATGTAACATCTACTCTCAATGTGACTAAGGTATGACTATCCATAGGTAGGACATGTGAAGTAAAGTCCACAATAGAACTTTTACCTTTGAGAAACCAGGTGTAGAAGCTCAGTTGACTGTCTCTGTGTGTGGCTGAATGTTATTTTCTGTATAAAAAGTAGAGCAGCTTGCATCCTGGCAATTTGCATGGATAGAGTAGGGTATGAGACAGCTTGCAGAAGCAGTTAATAACAATGACAATACTTGCCTTTGTGTGACTTGCAGTAGAGCACTGTAGCGGGCGGGCGGGGGACCTGGCATAGCTGCTGCTTGTTCATGGCCTCCATGAGTCAAGCTTCTTAAAACCCACACTTTCTATCTTGAGCCATGCTGTGAACATGGAACAGATTTTAAGATGAAAATTGTTTCTCTTGTTCAGGTCCCAGGACAGTTGCTTCCTGGGGTTCTTTGTGTGATGCATGGTATCACTGAACAACCAGCATTATTGCTGCTTTGTGTCATGTCCTTTCTGTTCTCCATAAACTCATCTTATACTGACCCAATTTCTGTTGCACTTTCCCTTGCTTTCCACTTCTCTTCAGTGCAGCTTTTCCCAGTGCATTCTCACTTACCTGACCTGTGCTTTTGTACTTATATGAAATCCTCCTACAGTGGTGCTCCGCTTGACGAAGATAATGCGTTCCAGCAAAATCGCTGTACAGCGAAATTGTCGTCAAGCGGGAAAAAACCCATTGGAATGCATTGAAAACCAGTCAATGCGTTCCAGTGGGGGAAATACCTGATCGTCCTGTGAAGATCCTCCATAGGGCGGCCATTTTCCGATGCCTGTAAAGCGAAAATAGGTCAGCAGAACAGCGGGGAGCCATTTTGCAAGCTGCCGATCAGCTGTTTTTAGATTGTCGTTAAGCGAAAAATTGGTTCCCGAAGCAGGGAACTGATCATCATGAAGCGAAAAAACCCCATTGAATCATCGTTTAAGCTATTTCCTCGTCAAGTGGGGTAATCGTCAAGCGGGGCACCACTGTATTTGATTCTCATTATTCATGACCTCTCTACTTATTTTGCCACAACCTACATAATGTCAGTTACAGCAATGTGTAGTAACAAGCACACATTTGGCGCAATGTCAAATGTGAAAATGGCAGCATTAGGCCCATCTCTAGTGTAGTATTAAGGTAGGCAGAAGACTGTCAAGAGGTAGAATAGTTATTTTTTGTGAAACAAAACAGGTATGTAGATTGTTTGGGGTCTGTAAGGGCATTTAAGTGACTAGGAACTTCAAAGACTGTTTTTTTCTCATTTGCTTTTGCTTTTGGCTCTAGTGCTGATACTGTGCTATCATCCTCCTCCTCTTGTACTGCTTCCTCTTGTCTCCTCCTCATCCCTTCCCACCAGTTATATTCAAATATGAGCTATCATCATACAGCTGAGCATCCAGTTATGAACTGCCTGTGGCCCTCTCATGGCCATGTTGCCTGGGGCTGGGCTGTAGTTCATCCTGGCATGGAAAATGAGCTCAGCCATGCCCTTTCTTCTCCTCCCCTGTCTTTCTCTTTCTCTCTCTCTCTCTCTTTAGCCCCTGTAGTCTTCTCCCTGCCCCAAATTGTCGCTGGATCCTGAAACAGCCACGTATGCTTATGGACCCAACCCAATCTGCTGCTGCTGCTGCCTTGTGAACGGCCTGTGGTTGGGTGGTGGGACTGATTGAGGTAACTCACTGCTGTATTGCTGGCTTTCCTGCTATTCTACTAGCTGCATTATATGCACTGTTGTCTCTCTAAGGTGCACTAAATCTGAGTGGCTGCTAAATTGGTCTGATGGGAAACAAAGTGTGCTGCTGCGTTGCAAGAACCCTCTTAGGAGTGGTTATTGTATGTGAAGCCTAACGAAGTCAGTGTAATGTCAAAACTACTGAGAGTTGGAGCAGACAGAACTTAAGTAGTTTTGGTAACTCTGGGCTGGATCCAGAGTAAATTTATTAAGTGAAATGATGTCTTCAAGGCTAAAATCTTCTCTGCTGGAGGAACAGGGAATGGCTACAATGACACTGATATCTTCTTTTAAATGCTGTTGCCAAAAAGAGCACATTTGAGTGTGTTCCAGGGCAAATGTAAGTGCTTGCAGTTCTGTTGCAGAATTACAGGGCCATCAGCCAAGTTAGAAGTGCATGGTTTCTGTTTTGGCCTTTGTATTAGTCTGGCATTAATGTACCACTTTCTCAAATACCACGAGATACCAGAACCAGGGGACACCCACTCAAATTGAGTGTTGGGAGAGTGAGAACAGACAAAAGAAAATACTTCTTTATCCAGTGTGTTGTTAGTCTGTGGAACCCCTTGCCACAGGATGTGGTGATTGGACAGATTCCTGAAGGAAAAGTCCATCGGAGGTTACAAGCCATGAGGGGGATGTATAATCTCCAGGCTTAAAAGGAAGGTCCTTCAAAATGCCAGATGTAGGGGAGGGGTATCAGGAGACAGGGATCTAGTGGTCTGTTGTGCTCCCAGAGGCATCTGGTGGGGCGTGAGATACAGGGAACTGGACTAGATGGGCCCTTGGCCTGATCCAGCAGGGCTTTTACTTATGTTCTTATATAAATATGAAACTCAGCAGTCATGTTGACTTTATACTTACTGGTGCTAGTTTCTGATAAGCCTGTTCCAGACCAGTAATATAAGGCAAGTAACATTTAGGAGCAGTTCTTCCCTGTGCATCTACCCCAATAAGTCTGCACTTGTGCAGAGCCACCCCTTTGAAAAGTTCTACGTAGATGCAGGGAGACCTCTCCCATCTACAGCTCGTGCATTGGAATGCAACTTATCAATTCTGTTCTGTTCACCATGGCAAAATATCTTCTGTGTGAGGAAGAGGCAGAAACGATTCAAAACACTAGTTGTTTTGCTTTCCATGCCTGATGTTTTATTTTAATTGTACAATTTTAAAAATAATTATTGCACTTTTAGTTTTTTTAATCTGATTTCTTCTGGAGGGCAGATTGCTATGCATTTTCCTACTCAAGGCTATTTGCCTGAAGGAGGCCTTTTTCAAATATTATTTCAAATGTAAAAGTAACGTTGTCCTTCCTGACCACCACAAGTGTCTCTTTTGTTTGGAGGAAGACCATGTAACTTCCTCCTTCTCCACCAGTCCACCATACCCTCTAATTTTCAGCCCTGCTGGGCAGGGCTCTGCCCCTCTCTTGCGTGGCTTTGCCTCTGTATGTGTGCATGGCTTCACCCCCGCATGCTGGGTTCCGTCACTACCAGAACCTAACATGATCCCTGCGCAGAGGAAGAAGACAGCTGCATGGAGGGAAGCAGAATCGGGCATGCGCACGCCCAGCTTAGCGGGAACCTTGCTCCTGTCACTTCTGCCATGACTGCCACTAATGCATTGCAGTCATGTGAACTAATTCAGCAGACTCAGCTTCACTTCCAGTGCCTTTGCCATCTGCCTCAGCTCAGCCTAGTAAGGTATCCTCAGAACTAAACCCATCAGACATATGGGTTTCTTCCCTCCATCTCATGGCACTGACAAACTACTTTGACCAGATACTATATTCTCCATGGATATCAGCAAGGCGGCATCACCTCCTGCAGATCCCAGCAATTGTCTTCAAAATGTCCACCCTTCTAGAGAGTGCTTTTGCTTATTGACTGTGGCATTCTCCCTTTTCAGAGAAACAGCTGGTTCACAACAGTCAGCCTGAAGGATACTTAACGTCACAGAGCTGCTCAGGTTGAAAATATGTCCCATTCTGGCTTTTGAAAATATGTCCCATTCTGGTCTCTCTGTAGTCCTGAGGGTCCTCACCAAGAGTGTGGAGATGATTTCAGCTCACTTGAGGAAGCAAAACATAGGCCTTTACACTGATGATTGACAAATAGTTACCAACACCAGATCTTGACTTCAGTGTTATCTTACTACAGTACTATCTCTCCCACAGGATTGAGACCTATGTATTGATGTTAACAAATTTATCTGACTCCAATACAAAGCATTGTATTCATGTGTCTCAGGTTGCTCTCTATATAGGCCAAAGCTTGAAGAAAGAGCTCACTGTATCATAGCCATGTCTCATAACATCATGGACTACTTGATGGATGGCCAGGGAAGCAAAATGTCACATCATCTTTCTGAAACTGTTAGCAGTATTCTAGGTTTCCAACGGAAATAGCCTCTTTAATAGCTCCACCATGGAATGGTACATGAATAGAATGGCACAGTCCACTGATGGACTGTGTTCTTTCCCTGTGGCACTGGTGCATCCACCACAAGATATTCCTTATTTCAGTGCATGTTCTAGGACATGCCAATGACTTATTAAATCTGTTAAGCAAAGGACATAGATGTGGATGAATGGGGACTATACCCTTGTCTCCTTGAGAGACAATCTGTATGTGAGTTTGGTCACAAATTCAAAAGCACAGGTCATTTCTTTTCAGAGACTTGCTAAGTGGGGCATGAAATCAATTACCAGATGGCCAGGAGACCTTTGCCTACTACCCATAAAAAGCCATTTTGCTAGGGCTATGCTTACTTCCTTTTAAAAAACAAACAAGGAGTCTCCTTACCTGAATTGTGCTGAATTGCAAAGTAGTCTGAATTGTCCACTTCGTGTAGCATTACTGCCTGGTCACAAGGTCATGGGCGGATTCTGGTTTTTGAGGGGTTTTTTTCTTTTCTCTCTGCTGTGTTACAATGATTGTAGGTGCCTTCCCTCCTGCCTCTGGTTTTTAGTTTCTGGAGGCAAGCTCACTAGTCTCACCTCTCAGTGTGGATGCATAAAGACCATTACAAAAAAACAGAATAGATCGCTTTTTGCAATGTTTCAGTTTTTTTAGTGGTCATTTGTGTGTTCACACAACCTGCCCTTCTTCCCTCTTTTGGTACCTACCTGCTGGTTAACTGAACATGTGTGGCCATGTCCTCAGATTTTTATGGAACTGAAGTCTTGCCGGGTACTGTGTGCATTGGAGATGGGAGGGGTGGCGCTGCTGTCATTCTCTCCATCCACAAGATTTGAAAGGGGTGATTCTGCACAGGCACAAACCTATTAATGTGAGCACATTGATGGTCACTTGAAGGCCATTGAAAGCTACCTGGTTTTCTGGATTGGTTCCACACATTCACTGGTCGCTTCAGTTTCATTTTTAACTTTAAAAGATGCTTCTAAAGCAACTGATGGATTTTATATAAATTGTTTTCTTTTCTCCTCCCTGAATAGGTCAGATTCTCTGCGTATCTCATGGGTAATTGCAACTGTTTGATGTGATAAATTTGCTTGATGCTTAGGGATATCTGTGTTGCCCATTATGGGTATGGGGCTGAGATACTAATCTTGTGGCTCTTTTGTGATGATTTTTCTGTCATGTAACTAGATTCATAGATTTTATATAGCAGGGACATCATACTTCCACTGGTCATAGTCCTCTTCCTTCATGACACTTGAGTGGCCAAATGACATATATGGCATACAGTATGTCATATCTGAGACATGTGGTAAATAGAGATCTACAGTTTAGAAACTGTGGGAGAAAGCTTCTCTATCCTTTTTTTCCCATCATGGGAAAATGGAAACATGGGACAAATAGAAGCACATACAATACACTTTTGATTAGTTCTAATCTCAATTTAATAACATGAAATGAATTAAAACCATACTATTCAATATTTCTATGGAACATAAAGGTACAAATTCCTGACTTACATATAAGCAGAAATTGCAAATTTACCCAGTGATGGAGTGAACAATCTTTGATAGTATTATTTAAGAATATATTTGTTTTGTGATTTGTAAATACAGGAGAACAATAACTTATACAGGAATTACCAACTTGGTAATAACCAAAGGAAGCTTATATTATTTGGGCTGTGAAACTATTTCTTGTTAATCATCCAGAAACTGTACATATCGTCATCAATATCATGAAGCGACACTGGAATGACTAAGCACACCACAACCAGTGGTCCTTTCTTCAATTTCCTTTAAAAAAAAAAGGAACAAAGTATTCCTAGCCTTAAAAAATCAGTGTTAAGGATCATCCATAAATTTGAACACTGAGTTGTTTAGTTATTATCATATACTGTACATAGTAAGCACAGTTCTCAGGATATGACTGAATCCTGTGGAAACTGGCGTAGAGATATAGTAAGATAACACATCAGATACAATTTGCACAGTAAAAATATCACTATTAGAAGTGATTTCTTTAAGATTGCTAGATTGAGATTCTGAAAGTTCTTTTGTCTTCTTCAGTGAACTAGAGATATGCATGAATTGAAACAAAATGTATGTGTTCCTTTGCATGTTAGCATGTTTCTTGATTTGATGTGCACATTTTCTACATACCACAGATCGGCATTTGCTTAAGACGGAGGACTCTGCAGTGGGCTTCAGAAGTTGTACATATCTGCAGAATAGGAATTGTGGCTGCCTAATAGATTAAAAAGTATATTTAGGGAGTGAAGTACAAGTCAAATAAAACTTTAGAGTATTTCTGAAAGAAATCATTCATAAGAGTTGTCTTCAGTTTTTTTTTTTTTTGAAATGCCCCCCTCCCTCCAGAGGAAGAAATGAATAGGGAGGAGAGAAGCTTGGAAAGGGGTATTTCCATCCCCCCCCATCATTCTGCCTTCTTTGTCCCTTTAAATTTCAGAACATGGGCAGGTACTTAGAACATCCTGCATGTTGCTATTTTGACATTTTCAGTAAAAGAAGTATATCACAGCTGATAAGTGCCCAGCCTTCCCTTATTGATAGAGGACTTACCTCAATCATTTTACTACAGCATCAGGAAGACAGGGTTTTTAAAAAATGATCATTCTACAAGAAAGCAGCTGCAAAGGTTTTCATGAAGCCACACACAACCTAAGACATGGCTGGAGTCAGCAGCTGGGTGCATGCGGATGAGCTACTTAGACTGGGGTGAGCATTTCCTGTCCCTGTGCAACCCTTGGAGGGGGATGGACTATAAAGAAGTTTCCCAAGACCCCTGAGATCACCCTTCAGTCATAGGACGCTGTTCTCATAGAAACCTTCCTTTGAAAGAGCAGTTTGTGCCTCAGTTCTTGGCTGTTCATGGTAGCAACCTTCCTATGTTTCAGCAAGAGTAAGTCAGCCTAGTTGCTTTAGGCCTGCGGTGAAGGACCAGTGTTCTTTGGGTCTGTCATATTTATCTAACTGTCACTGAAAAGTCAACTGTACAGTTAACCAGCATAGGCTAACTATATTAATTGTAGTCCGCAGTGACAGCAGAGCTTTCAAAATAGTGGAGCCACTAGATGCAGTGTGAACAGGCATAGCTTATATCTGACAGGCAGCTAGAATAATATTTGAGCAAAGCCCAGAGTTTCACTTAAACAGCAAAGTTCCATGTTTTGTGTCTGGCCAAGCCCCATACAGCAGATGTGTGCATCACAACAAGCCTGCAGGGCTGCATATAGAACTGCTTATAGAGTTGTGAGCTTAGAACTATGCTTGACTTTGTTCATGCTGCAGCACTGGAGTCTAGCTCTTCTTTGTCTCTCAATGTCCAAAGTTCTAATGGCGCACATTTATGCAAGTGGAAGCCACTAATGTCATTATCTGGCACCAGTAAAATTTATTTTAAAAGAATTGAAAGCTTTCTATCCCTCTGCTTCAGGTTCTGAGGCTCTCTTGGGCTATCTTTTACCTCAGAATTGGAAGAGGAGATATTTTAGTAGCCAGACATAGCCACCAGATCACCATCGGCTATTTTTTTCCCCAACAGCAGCAATCTGATGGCTCCCCCGTCCATTGTGAGGCTCCCAAAGGCTTCCCCAGGGCAATTTATTTAAATTTTATAAGCACCAGATTATGATGGCACCAGCTTCTGCCAGTGTAAATGTGCAGAACAGGATTTTGTCTCAAATTCACAAGAATCCTTCAATCCCGACACATTCTACAGATGATCTGTACAGATGTATACTGACCAGGCATTGCAGCTTGCTTTCTCAGCATTTCTCTGTTGCTTTTCCAGTCCGTTTTACTAACTTAGTTTGCAATCCACTACCATCACACAGATCATTCTGTCTCTGTCCCAGTAAAGAAAGGGGGAATGAATTGGGGGGAAAATAGAATAAAATACCCAATTAATTGCATGTTCTTCACTATGTAGTACTTATTCATTTGCTACATTTTATAGCCTGAATGAACCCCTTGAACAGCTCACAAAATACAGCAAGAAAAGAACAGTGTCTCTTTGTGGGTCATCTAGGTAGTCCTTTTGTATAATTTACCTTTGCTTTCCTTCTGGGATGCAGCAGGAGAATGTGACACGCTGCCACATACCCTAGAACTAGACTTCAGGGGAATCATAGTGTCAGACAGTGCAAGAGAAATTCATCTTGATTTGGTGTATGTGCATGTACAACAAGCAGTTGTGGGGAGTAAATGGCACTCTCCCCTCTGGATGGAGTACCACTTGCTCTGATTTCATAGTACTTCTTGCAGTGTCCAACATAGGAGGATATTAGAGTCAACATTTAGTTTGTGTTTGGTTGTGTGGTAATGCCAGTGTTTGACTAATGCATTTATATGACAATTGTGGATCAGCTGACCTGTCACCTGGTGACAGGCCTCTGTTATTTAATACAGTGGTCCCTCACTAGACGATTACCTTGTCAAAACGAGGAATTTGTTAGACAATGACTTTTTTGAGCGATGTTACGCTTCACATATGCTAATACCTTATGCTAATTACGGGAGGAACACCTATCATTAGCTAGGTGTTCCTTCCACAATCCTCTATCTAGTACACAGCATATGCTAATACCTTATGCTAATACCTGTGCACTAGAGGATTATGGGAGGAACACCTAGCCCCTAATCGGGGTCCCGTAAGGTACCCCAAAATACTGAGGAGCTCTCTTGGCCTCTGGCAGGACTGGGGCTGTGCAGCCTTGTTCTGAGTGGGTGGCTCAGCCAGGGGGTCACAATTCCTTGCGGGGGTCAGGGAACAGAAGGGGGTAGGAGGTGAAAAGGCCATTCCAACTCATACCTTGCAGGGGAAATACCATGTCATAAAAGTGGTTTTCCCAGGGGGGAGGCTCATCCATTGCACTTAGGTGTTCTGCTGATCCCTATGATTTCCCCAAATATGGGAACTCATTTGCATAATTTGTGTTAATGGGGGATTGCCCTTGTGATTTCCCTAGTTTTTCTAGACTCCTTTTCATCTCTTTTTCTCCTCATCAGGACCTATTGCAAAGGCAGCAAGTCCTGGTGATGTCTTGTATTGCTTTCTCTCTCTTTTTCTCCTCTGTGGTAAAGGATCAGGGCAAAAGGAGTCACCATTATCAGGAACCAGGGGGCTGCTTTGACTCCTTTCACCCTCTTTCTTTGCTAGAGAAAGAGGGGGATGGCCATCAGAGACCCACTGCATTTCCAAAGGCATTGCAGGTGAGGGGATTGCTTTTCCCCAATATGGTATGGGGAACTGTGTTTTGCAAGATGATGTCTTCTATGGACAATTTTCGCAAGACAGTGATTTTCCCCCCCATTGAAACGCATTAAATAGATTTCAGTGCATTTCAATAGGGAACTGGGTTTCGCAAGACAATGTTTTTGCAAGACAGCGATTTCCATGGAACGAATTAAAATAATCTTGCGAGGCACCACTTGTATATTATATGCCTTTCTGCCACTGCCAGGTGCAGTTTGGCTTGTCAGTGCTACTTTCGTTTGTTAACTATTCGGATTTTTTTCCCTATAGGGCAGTCAACGGCTTTGACCAAGGCCCACCACCAGGTCTAGGAGGGTCCAGACCATCATCGGCACCAGGCATGCTCCCTCTAAGTGTATGAACGGGTTGCAAGGCCACAATGAGACTGCAAATTAGTTCTCGAAAGAACAAGAAGAGCTGCTTGTGATACTTCCTGTTAGTGCCCCTTGCTGGAGACGAGTAGGTGCTGCAGCATCCAAATGCTGCCTGGAGAAGAACCCAGCACATACAGAGCACTCCTTATGTCAATACAGTCTATTTTCTTCTATTTCTGTCGTGGGCGTTCTTTAACGTGGTCACCGCTGATGTCTGCCTCACAGGATGCTGAAGTTGCACTTATCCAAACCACCTTCCTTCCCCACTCCACCATTGCTAGAGACTTTCCCAGGACTCATTGGCTTTGATGCTGGATGACCTCTTGGTAACTCCCTACATTTTTGCACTCTTCCCATTTCTCCAAAACACCCAATTAAGCACACAAGATCCCTGTGCTTTTTCTTTTCTAGATGAGTCCATTTATGTACAAGGAAGGGCCAAGTATGCTCTGGCTAGCCACTGGACTGGGGATACAAGTTGACCTTGTAGGAACCTTCCATACTCTTGCTTGAGGGGTCATGGTATGTAACACAGCACCCCTGCTAAAGATCTGGGAATTGGGCCATGGAAAATACCTAGATGTTGCCTCTCTTCTACTGAGCACAAGAACAGTTTGTGTTGTGCGATTGGGTCCGTTCACCAAAGCTGTCTGTTTCTAACTGGAGATTCACCCCAGTTTAGCAGTTTCTTTCCATTCAGTTTAATTCTGTGTAGCTGGTTTGGCCAGTTTAAACTGAATAAAGCTGTGGTTTGGGCTCTGTCTGCTTAGTGAAAACTGCCCAAGACTAAGAGAAGAGGGGAAGGGAAGAAAAAACATGGCTGGGGCTTATTTCCACCCACAGCTTGAATTTTGTTAGCCCTTTTCCAGTGTGTCCTTTGCTGCATTGACTGTTTACATTTGTTTTACTGTACATAATAAGTTTGTAAACATAATATCTTTGCCTAAGATATTTGTACATAACTTGGGCTTTGTAGCTTTATTTATTCAGAATCCCAGAGGCATGTTTTCCCTAGGACTGTGTATCAGATTTCTGTGGTGACTGCCATCCTGTGGTTTAATAAGACAGGTGGTCCAAAAATAAAGATCTTTTAATGTGGACACATTTGCTTTTGCAGAAAAGATGTTTCTGCCTCTGCTTTACACATGGTTTTGTGCTTTAGTTCCTACGTTTTCACTGGCGGTGCTGCCACTTACAAAAGAATTCAACAGTTCACACTATATTGGGCGAATGAATATGTAGCAAATGTACAGCAGGAACTCCTTTCAGTGATCTGGTTTTGCTTAGTGGAGTAAGCTCTTCATGTTGTGAAGGAAAGGAAAGCAAGTTTCTCTTCCAGATGTCACTGTTTCCTGATGGATAATTCAGAAATGGTTACTTGTTCTGCTAGTCAGATAGTTCTTGGAAAGCTGTGCTATTTTTGACACATTGAGAGGAAGAGTAGCAGGTGACAGGACAGTTATGTTTCCAATGTGAACCTTGTTGGAGCATTAGTAAGACTAAGTTTCATTTGAGTAATCAAGAGCATTTGCATCTACAGCCTGTTCTTGAGTCACCTGAACCATCATGCTTTAGAGTGGAAGACCCAAGACTTTACACTTCAAGTGGCAAACATCTATGGTAGTATGATTTGCAAAATTGAGTTTCAGCATTTAAAACTTTATTGCAAGGCCCTTCAGCCACCATGTTCATCTACAGAATCTGAGTGTACCACCAGGTTGTTTCTCCCATTTTCAATAAGAAATCTCAAGAGAGCTGCATACCTTGAACATCAAGGGCACACGTCAAATGTAACTAAGCCACTACTTTTGTTCCACCTGCAAAGTTAATTGGTGCCTTTGATAGCAAGGCTAAAGGCACACAAGCTGAGTCAGTACTTTTAATGAACCACTTCCCATGGAAAAACATTTGGAAATACACATGTTTACATCTGTTCATTATGTGCTCTAATGTTACAAATGGTTTAAGTTGCTTTTGTATAAATTATAGCTGAATTCAAAGCAGCCACTTTTGAAGTGGATCCTAAGTGGTTCACTTTTTTGTTGTATGAGTAGTTCTAAAGCAGGTTCACCATAGCACTTTTTTGCCTTGTCTGGAATAAAAGGGTGTGGGTAAGCTAACAGCCTGGCTATTTCTTCAAATGTGCTCCAGTTAGGATGACAAATGTGGGAAGTCTCAAACAGTACCTTGGGAAGGTGGATCAGAGAAAGTGGCTCTGTAACAATAAAGCCAGCTTGCCAACACTTCTGCCTCCTCCTAGGATAAAACTATCATCTGCTGTTAAAATGCCCCCAGGAGAAATCCTTGTGTAGGTCTGCTCAGTTTTAAGGGACTGAACCATATGCCTCTCTTCCCAATAAATAAGAAATGACTAAATAAAAATACTTGGGCTACAGTTGTACTTTTTGACCAAAGCAAAGGGAAAAAATGAGGGTAAGATGGGAAAATGACATTCTGGAAACTACACCATCTACATGAAACAGATGATCTACATTCTCAAAAGGCTATCGTTGTAAAAATAAACATGAGGAGAACCTCTTTAGCCTGGGTTTTGTTCCTAGTGAAAACCAAAAAAGGTCAGTATCTCTCTCCCAGTTTGTATTACTCAAGACTGATTTAAGAATTTTCATATTACAAGGGAGTGACAGGCCTCATAGATCATTGCCATTCCAAAAACGATCTACAATACCACATGTATTGTGTCTACCAGGAAGAGTAAAAAGCATTACTTAATGATTTGTTAAGTGATATTTCTTTCACAGTTGTGCACACAATGGATGTGATTGTACAGTGAAACCGCATTTTTTTTTGCTTCAGTTAGTTTGTCTAGAGTAGACAGTTAAATCCCATACCCATGGTGTACCTGGATATTGGAAGCAAGGAAGCTTGAAAATCTCATTTATACTTTAAGCTCTATCAATCAAGCTAGTTTTGAGGTTCACAAACCAACTAGTGCCCTCATTTGCCCCTCAACTGCTACTACCCTGGGCCCTCTGGCAAGTTACTTCTGTTTTATTAGTATCAAGGTGTGTGTGTGGGGGGGTATGTCTGTCACACAAATTCAAAGCTATTGTTTACTCACAGTATACCCTACAACAGTAAACAGAATCCATACCAATTTGTATTTGATAGAAAAATTGGATCTACATAAATTAGAATATATGAAATAAGTCTGTTCGCTTGAGATGTTTCTGTATACCTCATTCACTAAACCATTTTAGGCAAATACCCTACATGATCATAACAATTCATTCTCCAAATGCTAGGGCTTGCCAGAATTGTGCAATCCATAAACAGGAAGGCACTGCTAGGCTTGAAGGAAACCTGAAGATTACAAAAACAGAAGTCTGAAGAGCAGGGACCTGTACAGTCTGGTGGGGTGGTTAGATGCAAATGAGCCTTGTGGCGCAGTGGTTAAAACGCTGTACTGCAGCTAAAACTGCTCACGACCTGGGGTTCAAATCCCAGGTAGCCGGCTCAAGGTTGACTCAGCCTTCCATCCTTCCGAGGTCGGTAAAATGAGTCCCCAGCTCGCTGGGGGGGGGGGCAATGTGTAGCCTGTATAATTAAATTGTAAACCGCCCGGAGAGTGCTTGTAATGCTATGGGGCGGTATATAAGTCCAATCAATCAATCAATCAATCAATCAATCAATCAATCAATCAATAAATAAATAAATAAATAAATAAAAGTGAGCAAAGGAGAATGGAATGATGCATGTACTTCAGGAGGCCATGTCTGGCAGCTTGATCAAGAGTGATCAACACTGGAACATTTTGTTGTAAGATACACTAATGTAAACAATTCGCTATTCCAGGCATCCGAAGCTCAAATCGTGCTTGCTGACCAGACAAAAGGAGTCTGTACTCCATTTTACCTTTGGTTTATTTTACTGTAAGGCAAAACACACACCTACCTATCTCCATGGATAGTATCTAGGAAAAAGTGTTTGGCCCATATTTCATTGCAGTCTTGAGAAAGTGGACGTAATAGCTTTATAGACCTCTTCCAACGCACTTACGCTATGAAACTTGAATAGACTGGTTTTACCTAGCATATGCTGATGTACTGAAACTTTCAAAATACTTATAACACAGCCAGATACCTTTTCTCACAAAATGGTGCAAATGATTAAAGCATTATTTTTTCTTTATCAGTCACGATGCCTGGTGGTCAACAACCAATTATGACTAAGGATGGAAAATGTAAACCCCACTGCCCAGGCTTGGTCCTGATGTTTTTTCTTCATAAGCTATTTGCTTCGTTCTCATCAGTTACTTAGTTAAACATACTATTAGGGCAGAGGCATAGGGCAAAGATGTATGAGTCAATAGTTGCACTCCTGTTTGAGAAATGCACAGACAAATGTTTGCTAACCCACGGCTCTAGTAAGATTGCTGGGGACGGAGAGACTCAGTAATCCTGAGACTACCGTTTAAAAAGAAAGATTTTACTTCAGCAGACTAACTACCATAAAATGTAAACTACTGCAGCCTCCACTGTGAATTGTAGTTTTCTAATTAAGAACAGATGCAAGTGAAAACATAATTGTTGATTAGCCTCCCATGTGTTTATCATACATTCTCTTACATTTTTAACCTTAGTAAGATAGTGTAGTAAAGAAATCTGACTGCACTTCAATGCATACTTAAACCTCATGTTCAAGTTCACTTAATCCTAGCCATGTTCCTCGCTTTGTCTTCCTGATGGTTTCAGGCCCAGTTTGGATCTGAACAACGAAATGGGTTGATATTATTAGTAAGGAGGGGTAACTTTGCTTCTCCTGATTTACATGTAAGACTGAACAAGTCTTTGTTTGGAATAATGGACATTATGCAAATTTGGGTTTTCCTATAACTCATCAACAGTTCTAGGAATTTTTAAAATTGGCTGTCCTGTCCAATAATGGCATAGAGAAGAAACGGGGGGGGGGGATGTTTTAACCATGTACTGACTCAATCTAGAGGCCTATTTAGCTTCATAGGCTATATACCTGGAGTAACCCCACAATAAGAAGTTTCAAAAGTTTTTAAACATATTGTTCATTAAGTATTCTTTAGTGAAGAATACCATCCCCTTATCTTCCTGGCTACACCACTAATACGTACACCTTGTGATTGACAGAGTATGACATGAAAACGTGTTTCATTCTTCTTCGTGGCCTCTGTGAATAAACACAAATGGGTTTAGTCTGTGCCTGCGCTGACATTCTCGGAGCATTCCAGAGCTAAAAGTAACAATTTTATGGTATGATCCCCCATGAGGCACAAGCTCCTCCCACCCAAGATTCCCCTCAGTTCCTTTTTTCCGCCGTGCTGTAAAGTTCTACAGAGCATAGAGCTATTTCCACAGGGGTTTTTCCCCTTAGCTTATTGATCAATTCCCTCTAAATTGGATTCTTTCCCTTCTCAATTATCTAATCTATGATCCCCCATGAGTTGTTTTCTTTTTTGCTTGCCAGCTACTTGGCTTACCCCCTCCCCCCACACACACTTCAACTGTTTACTTCTTTCTCCTTTCCCGCCTTTTTCGGCCTACTCATTTTGACTCTCAGGCACATTAATGATTTTCTGCCTGAGTAAGCTACATCTTACCCAGATAGGTGCAGGCCGCAGTAGGGGACCCGACAATACCAAGGAGTCCTTAAAATCTAAGTCTACATCAACAGAGGAACCCTCAACGGAGGCTAGCGAATGTGCCTCTGAGGAGACGACGTGCCAGCTCTACCTGCACAGACTCCGGGATCGCCTGATAGCCTCTCTGCTCCAACTGGCCATTTAGTGACTGTGCTACTGTCCAGTCCGGCCGTGGCCCTTTTAGCCCTACATGAGGGCGGGCATTTGACATTCCTGAGTTGGAGCTTAAGTCTCTATCTCATGAGGAGAGGAGAGTGAAAAGGAGGCATGTCTCACCACACCCTCTCTCTGAGCAACCATGAGAGAGACTGGTGAATCATCGATGGAT